TTTCCTGGCGCATCCCGGCGCCGGAAGTGCCCGTGCATCTCGAGGAGAACGCCCGGCGGTGGGTTCACCACCAGCTCCACGCAGGAAATGTCGTCCCGCTTTCATCAGACTGGGGGTGGTGACCACCGTTGGCTTGTGTTTCGTCCTCCGCTGTCGCGTTCGCTGTAGACCTAGATCTAGCTCTATCTCTAGCTCTAGCCCTTGATTTCGCTATTGCGTTCGCGCCCGATGCCCCTTCCAAGGTAGTCTTGGCACTAGCGGCGACCGCCTCAATTTGAGCGTCAGGACTGGAATTAACCTTGGATTTCGATAAGTTTAGTCCTGACCAGGACATGATGCAGTCACCAATGAGATGTGATGTGTTTGGGCACTACCGTTGCTACACTTTGGAGGTCGCACCCGGTTTCGTCATCCGCCTAAGGCATGGGTCATTCTCCTCTGGCCCACCACGCACCTCTCCTCACCTTACTTGCCTGTTCCTTTTCTTCCTCGTGCCCCCCATCGCCTCCGAACCCAGGGTTTCGAAGTCCTATCGTGGATTGGCCCTGGATGCCACTGCCGCCCTCATCAAATAAAGAATCCCCCAGGGTATGAAGCCTCCTGGGCGCACTCCATACCAACGCCCCCACCGCATTCTGGCCCCAGCGAAGATGGGTGCCCACCTGGACTCCTGCACCCGCACAAGGAGCCCCAGCCTGGCCACGACGGGGCCTGGCGCAGATCTGGACTGGACAGCCTCGCGCCACCCCTCACGAAAAAATCCACAACCCCGACCGCGCCCCGGCGACACCTTACGCAGCAAGAGGCGCGGCACAGCAGGGAAACAAAACATGCACTGCAACCTGTTCGCTCCGCTCCGCCGCCTCCTCCGTCCGCCTCGCCCACTCTGCATCCCGCCACACGCAACATCTCCGAGAAAACCCGTGGCAATCCCGTAGGAACCCCACAAAACCCTGGCCAAGGGCAGGCACGCGCTGGCCTTCCTTCCCGCGCCGGAAGCTCCAGTGAGCCAACTCGAGGCTCAGAAAAAAAACTCGGCACGAATCGCTGGCCCGTTTCAAAAAAGGCACCGGCGTGCTTTCGTTATCATGGTCGACTGCATCTATTGTGATCGCGGGGGTGCACGCTGGCCTCCGACCTTCTGGGGCGACCCCTCAGGAGGATCGCTACATGTACCACAGCGCGCCGCTGCGAAGCCCAGGAAGGCCAGCGAGGGCGGGCGGACGCTGGGCCCGAGCCGCCCTGGGGCCACCCCTCGCGAAAGAATCCTGCCATCGCCGGGAGCCTCGATTGAACGGCACCGCGGCGCGGCGCACGCTGGCACCAGACCGCATTAGGCCACCCCGCACGAAGATACCACCCCCACAAGCAGCCCCACCTTGGCCCCAGTGAGCCACGAGCGGCGAACGTGCCTGTGTCCGCGCCCTCGCGGTCTGGACTCTGGGGCGCGATCCCGCGGAGGCGCGGTCGCGCGGATACGCTGCGCGCAGGATCCGCGAAAGAACGCCCCGCACCCGCGGGGTCACGGCCAGGCCGCGGATGCGAAGATGTTTTCGCCCACGAGTGAGGATGGGCGCATACTGGGACTGGACCGCCTTCGGCCATCACTTACCAGGATTCCAATCAACCGAGCACCGGCTACAACGATGTAGCTTGGCGAAAGACCCAAGCATATGCAGTTCTGAATACCGCAGTCGTGAGTATCATCTTCGATGGAGCTCCTCATGGGGGCACCAAACGTGTGAGGGATGTGCCAAAAAGGGACGGCGGCGGCACGCGGGCTCAGCCACTGGGGCCTTCGGCGGATTTTCCTGTAGGGCCTTCGGCGCGGCTTCCTCTGTCCGTGATCTGTTCGATGGGGGGGGCACGAGGAAAACTAAACCGCCCAAGATGGGACTTCCCTTTTTTTTCCTCTTCGCCCGCGCACTCCAAAGTCCAAGGCTGCGGGCGCAGCGCACGCGGAGTCCCCGCAACGCGCGCCGGTCGCCCCGAAGGGGTCCCAGCGACGCGCGCGGGTCGTCTGCTGCGCGGAGCAAAGAAAGCTAGCTGGCTGGCCGATAGCAGGCAAGGCTCCGGTCGTTGGGCAGAGCGACGACGAGCGAGCGACGCGCTGGGCAGAGCGCAGTACGGACTTCCCGCGACGCGCGCTGGTCGCCCCCAGACATTCCAGCGACGCGCGCGGGTCGCCCGTGGCGCGAGGCCAAACGGTTGGACAATCCAATCAACAGAAGGCGCTGCTCGGGCGGGCCAGCTCCCCAGATCAGGCCGCACGAAGAAACTCGGTGAAGCTTAGCTCCCGGGCAAACGCCGTCGCCTCCCTCCTGCACCGCTTCGCGCGCGCCGCAAACTGCCCCAGCCGCTTGGGAGAGCCCTCTACGCATGGGGCCACGAGAGGTGTGAGGGGTTTGTCACAACAGTCGGGAGCCGCGTCTGGACCCTGCTGAAGCCTTCGGTGGACCTCCCTGGCATCACCGCCTCCGCTTCCTCCTCCTTCTCCTCTTATTCCTCCTCCTCATCCTCCTCCTCCTCCTTCTCCTCGTCCTCCTCTTGCGGCCACCTCTGCGGGCATGATGTCTGCGATGTACAACACATGCAACAAGACGGGGCAAAAGGGGCGCCGGGCCTAGCCCAGCAAGTCCCTCTCCCCGCACGGACCACATGGGTCCAATGAGGCATGGTACCATTGCACCATTGCCTCGGGCACACACATTGGATTCGCCTCTCTCGGGACCAGTCCAGACGTGGCCCTGCAAACAACTCTCGCAACATGACGCGTCAACGCTTTAGGCCAACACCACGTCGATGCAAGTTCGCACCCATGCAACGCTGCAACATCATCGAGGCACACGGCTGGAAACTCAAGAGAGGCAGCACGCAACTGAAAGTCTGAGATGTCAGTATCTGGCAGTACAAAATGATGCGCGGAAGCATGCTCAGTTATCCATTGGACTTCTGGCATGTCCCACATGGAAGGGCCAGATGGCGAGCTTGCTTGCCAATTGGCAATCACGAGGGTTGATACCTGCGCTGTCTTCGCTGCTGCAACCGCTGCCCACATGAACTGACAGAGCACGCTGGAGCATGATACATCATCGGCGGCACGAGGTGGCAGCCCGACTAGGCCCCATGGACTCAACTGTGAGCGCGTGGGTCCGGGACTGCACTTCGGCATCCAACGATATTCCCACATTCGACACCGAATGAGCACAACAAGTGCCACGACTACTTTAGGTTGTATGAGCTCAAGCAGGTGCGATCTACATGCGCGCCGCGTCAAGCTCTGCACAGGGACAGCGAGCACACACAGATCCAAAGGTTCGTTCTGCGCAAGCTCGTCGCATGAAAACTGGAAGTCGCCTACATAACGTGACGTAGACGTGACGCAAAGAACGTACGAGTGGATAAATGATGGCGTCGCAGGCACATCGACTCTGTTGGCCCCCGTTGCAGAAGGGGCGGGCCGACGCGAAGCCCCCAGCACGGTCTCTGGGAGACCAAGCACGCGAGCGGCGCTTTTCAAGCCGGGCCCAGCCCGCGGCAACGGAGACGGCGTGGCCTTTGCACTGTAGTAGCCTGCTCGACGAAAACTGCGGGTAAAAATGGCATCCTCCTCTTTCGCTTCTTGCAAGAGCGCGCGAGGCACGGGGGCCAGCGCTGCAACTATGTTAGCAAGACAATTCGAGGCTCCACGGCGGAAGCGCTTAAGAAGTCTGGGTCTCGTGTGAAATGCCAAGCAGCACGATTGGCAAACCGAACCGATGGCGCACTGGTCAGCAAGCCCCAGCTGTGGATGGCACTTCGCCAAGGGCACTGACCACGAAACCTCGGCCTTGAGAACTGCGTCGCGTTCACGGCATGGCCAAAGCATGACGGGGGGGAGGGGGGCGACGGAGGAAGGCGGATGCTGGCCGACCATGGCGCGCGCGTGCCTGAGGTCATCTGCCCACGCGCTGCGCTGCACATCAATGTTGGCTGCAAACATGAGGTTGCGCTCAGCTTGCCGACAAATTCGCTTCCAAAAACGCACCCCTCTCTCACGCACGAGCAAAAGCCATGTGCGAGACGGGCCAAGTGGTCCCATGAGCTTGGGGAGAGACACATTGGCAGCTAGCCGTTCAAGATCCTGCAAGAGTCGACGCGCCCATGCGCCTGGCACGTCACATACACTTTCGAAGAGAAGGAGAACAACAGGGGACAGAGGTTAAAAAGACGTGGCGGCATGCGAAGCCCCCTCGTGCGAACCACTCCTTCATGTGGTAGCTGTCGCATGTGCAGCAGTAGCTTGTGCGCAGACACGTTCTGGGCCGCTCGACCATCAAATATAGATCCAGGCGCATATCTGAACGGCGCCAAGACGTGAGCCTCCATTTTTTGATTCTGAAGCTTCGCTAATGCAGCCCACGCATGCCCGTTGTTCAAGATGTGCGGTGCACATAACTTGGGCACGAACGTCAACTTGCGGCTTTCATCTAGAGCGTTGGTTCTGAAGACAATACGCTTTAGCACTCCAAAGGGCCTCTGGGCTTGATGGCAATGATGAGCACTCTCGGGTCCCATAGACATCCCCTGCTCCAGATAGCTCCCAATGCTGTTTTACATGTAGTTGTCAGTGCGAGCGTGACCCCATAGGCCCCGACCAGGATCCCTGTCTCATGCTTGTGCGCAAATTCAAGACGAGCTTTGCGTGAACCTTTCCGAAGAACATCGGGAGGAGCTCGGACTCCCCCTGCTTTAAATTTCTGCAAACCCCCTCGGCGTGGCCTCTTCGTGGGCCATTGTGGCGACTTATTTAACAACTTCTCGCCAATTCGTGGCTCAGGTAAATTCAACTATGGACACGAGGTCGTCGACGTACGACTTCGTGTCAGCTAGCGCTTCCTCAGCCCATCGCTGATGCTGCACTGCATTGGAGAAAAGGCAGCATTGAACAAATAATCAGCGAGGGGCATTCCAGGTCTGGTACCTCCCGATGGCTGCACAACTTGTTTGGCCCCCTCGACCTGGAACCATGTGCTGTTAAGTGCATGAACTGTACTAACGAGCAGGTGCGGGTTGCCGACCAGGCGGAGGAGTGCAGGAGCCGCCATCAAACTGTCACAAAGCGGCTGCAATGCCAACGGGATGTCCATGGCGTCCAGCGCCGGCTCCAATTGGCCCGTGCTCTGAGCGTGCCTTGAAAGAAAGCCCTTCAAAACAGAATAGAAGGCTGATTTGAGGTTTGCGAAAAGCATGAGCATGGTGTGACCTCTCTGCCTCGCTGCAGCAGCGGTTGACGTCACTATCAAGGAAGCTGTGTCTGTACCTTTCAATGCCAACCCTCCCATTTGGAACTGGTTGATCAACATATTAGACGCTTCTATGATACGGGTGCGGAGAAACGTGTGGTGCATCTTGGTTATGAGCGCGCCAAGCATGATGCTCCTGAAGTTAATGATCGGGGCCGCCTTGGTCTTCGTGTAGAGTGGCAGGAGCAGGTCAACAAGGTGCTCTGGGGCTGCTCTCAATAAATCCATATTTGCGTAATCTGGTCCTGGGGCCTTGCCGGTTTGGGAGCATTTGATCATGTGTACTAACTCACGGACTGTCATGACCATGTCATTAGATCGCTCGCGCAGCATGTTCAGACCATTCAAATGTATTGTAGCGTTCCATGAAATGCTCGTCTGTAATGATGTCACATTTTTCAATTCCTGCAAAGTGTACAATGAGTTCGAGTGCAAGCTGTTGCCGATCCATGATTGTGTCACCGTCCACACCTGAGCGAATTCCAATGCCTGGTCTTGCCGCTTTCTCCTGGTGCCCGCCAAAGCGCATGAGTTCCCGAATAACCTGCCATTCAACCTTACTGGCGTGGGAGGCCTTGGCAAGCTTCAATTGCTGCGCAAACTCTTCCAACAACTGGACCTTAGAAGCCTTCAGAAGCCTACGGAGCACACTTCTGGTGGAGTCCAGGAAGGTCCCAGCGGCACCTGCTAAGCATGGCACTGGGAGCTCTTCAAAATACTTGCTTTCGACTGCCTCCAAGAAAACATCCCGATGGAAAACCCAATGCAGGTCTTCAGGTCCTTGGGGGCCGACGCACGACATGAGTGCGGAAACCATAACATGTAACCTGCTGGGGTTGCCCTGGTGCCAGCCTCTGATAGCTTGCCGTACTTGCCGCCTAAATTTGATTGATGACCTCGAGGAGCTCCAAAAATGCATACGGTTTGGTTGGGGGGGCCTTTACGGGCGGGAACGCGATGTGCGCGGCCTCCAGAATACCCCCTTTATCGCCAAGCTCATATGCATGTTGATGTCTACATCAGCCTTAATGATGGGGGCCGTGTGGAGGATCTCTTTGAAGGTGTTGACCTGATCCGGTTCTCCGAGGGCGTCCTTGTTGAAGAGGGCCTTTTTTGAGGTACACCTGGCTGCACTCCTAGAACATATTGAGACCACGACAGGTTTGTGACCCTGGCAGTCAAGATTGCGGTCCATGATATACATCGTGCTGGTATCAATCGCTGCCGGGAGCCAATCATCTGACAATACAACATAATCAATACGATGGGGCTTGTGTCACGTGGGAGAAATCCATGAGATGCCGTCTTTGAGCGAAGGGACAAGCGTGTTGGCAGCTCTCAACTCCGTCTCGAGAAGGAAGTCATGCATCAACGAATATGATCCGTCTTCTGGCTGGCGGTACCCTGACTGTCCGACCGCAACCGAAGTTATGTTCCCTAGCCTGGCATTCGCATCAACAAAGAGAAAATTGGCACCGTCCTCCTCCTCCTCCTCCTGCTCCTGCTCCTAACCCCTCTCGGTTGGTGGCCGCCTCTTTTATCCCAGACACCACCGAGAAGTAACGCTCTTTACGGTGGCAACTCGAACAGGGGCCAGCCACCCTCAAGGCTGTGTAATCCGCCAGTATCCTCCTTTCCTCCTCCTCCTCCTCCTCCCCCTCTCCTTCTTCTTCCTCTTCTTCCTCCTCCTTCTCCCTCCTCCTCCCTCCTCCTCCTCCTCTCTCTCCCTCCTCCTCCTCCTCCTCCTCCTCTCCCTCCTCCTCCCTCCTCCTCCTGCTCTCCTCCTCCTCCCTCCTCCTCCTCCTCTCCTCCTCCTCCTCTTCCTCCTCCTCCTCCTCCCTCCTCCCTCCCTCTCTCCTCCTCCCTCCTCCGTCTCGTGGACATGCGGTGGGCGGGGAGTCGAATGTGGACATTGCCTCTGGGGCCGTCGGTGGAGCCCCCAATGGGGCCACGAAATGCGTGAGGGGTGTGCTGACATGGACATGCGGTGGGCGAGGTGGTCGCATGTGGACATTGCCTCTGAGGCCTTCGGCCCAGCTCCCTATGGGACCACGAACCGTGTGAGGGGTGTGCTGACATGCACATGCGGCGGGCGGGGAGCCGAATGTGGACTTTGCATATGGGGCCGTCGGTGGAGCTCCAAATGGGGCCACGAAATGTGTGTGAGGGGTGTGCCGAAATGGACATGCGGCGGGCGGGGTGGTCGCATGTGGACGTTGCCTCTAGGGCCGTCGGTGGAGCCCCCAATAGGGCCACGAAATGCGTGAGGGGTGTGCTGACATGGACATGCGGTGGGCGAAGTGGTCGCATGTGGACATTGCCTCTGAGGCCTTCGGCCCAGCTCCCTGTGGGACCACGAACCGTGTGAGGGGTGTGCCGGACCTGACTTGAGGTGGGCGGGGTGGGCGAAGTTGGACTCTGCCAATGGGGCCTTCGGTGGAGCTCCCAAAATGGGGTCACGAACCGTCTGATGGGTGTCCTGACATGGACATGCGGCGGGCGGGGTGGGCGCATGTGGCCTCTGCCTCTGGGCCTTGAGAAGGAGGAGGAGGAGGAGGAGGAGGAGGAGGAGGAGGAGGAGGAGGAGAGAGAGAGGAGGAGGAGGGAGGAGGAGGAGGAGGAGGAGGAGGAGAGGAGGAGGAGGAGGGAGGAGGAGGAGGAGGAGGAGGAGTAGGAGGGGGAGGAGGAGAAGGAGAAGGAGGAGGAGGAGGAGGAGGAGGAGGAACGCGGGCGCTGTCTCTTCAAAACGCAGGCCCAACACCACAGGATGGTTGGGAACAAAGTAATGCTCAAAACGAAACCGAAACGAAACCCAAACGAAACCAATGCAAACGAAACGAACAAAGAAACGATCCATAAAGGAAGAACGACAAAACAAAGGCCCGAACCAAGCTAAACAGCGTTGTGGTCGGTTCTGGCAGTCAACCGAAGGAGCACCAAGCGCGGACTGGAACCGGGCGCGCACTGGCGCGCGCTGGGACCAGACAGTCCTTGGCCTTGCCAGGCGCGCACTGGGCCCAGGAAGCCCTTGGCATCACTGGGCGCGCACTGGGACTGGGCAGTACTTGGCCTCGACAGAACATGATTCCATCTCTCCCGAGCTGGCCAAACTCGACGATGGCCCACCCAACCATCTTGCGGCGGTTGGTTACAAAGTGTGTGTGTGTGCGGTGTCGATGCACCTGCTGCAGGTATCCCTTGGAGCAATTTTCGAATTGTCAGGATCAGCCCCATCTGCGTGTTCAGCCTCAGATGAAGCATCATCTGGCTTGATCCAACATTTCTGCGCTTATTCAGCTTGGCCACCGCTCCGGATCAGGTTCCAGACAAACGTTTCGAATTTGCGTTCGATCATATGTCGTTCTAGCTGAGGCGGTCGCTTCACCTTTACCTCCAGCTGTACCTCCAGCTGCAGCAGTGGTCGTCGTTCGGATGGCATGCGTTTAAAAGTTGAACGCCTGTACAGCTTTAGCTGTAGAGATAGCGTTGTCTTCAACCTCATCTTCAAATTCACGGTATGTCTCGGCTTGAATGTGGGCGTTGGTTAAAGCGAACGGTTCGAATCCGGCGTTCACGATGGTTGCATGTCCGGTATTAAAACACAAAAACATACGGAAAACTATGTATGTGAACCTTTTCGGCTTCGATCTGCCGTGATAAGTGGCGTCACTGTCAGCTCGATGTTGAATGTTGCCCGCAGGAGCAAGAGAAGCAACACATGTCGTGAGAAGACGAACCAACAGCCATGGACCCTCGCGCACATAGTCGGATGCGCAAAATTACGATATCCCAGCTGTTGGGGAAGCCTCACGGAAGCCTTCTCACCCCGAGATTCTGAACAAGTTGACTCTCCAAGACCTCACTGGGCCAGGCGCAAGACGAGCTTCCTGTCGCCGAGGGAGTTGTCCACGCGTGCCACGGAAGGCCAGAATTTGCCGCGCTCGAGGATCCACTTGATCGGGAAGGCCGCCTCCTCCCGAGTGTAGGGGTGCGTCCACTCGTTGTTCACGACCTCGCCCTGCGTGTGGGGAGCGTTCTTCAGCGGATTGTCATCCATGGGCCACGTGCCGTCCTTGGAAGAAGCAATATATAGAGAGAGAGAGAGAGAGAAAAAAAAAAAAAAAAAAAAGAGAGAGAGAGAGAGAACAACACGCGCTTCGCGTGCGCTGAGGTTCAGGGCAGCCCAAGCCAGCATGACAAGATTGAATGAGGATAAGCATCGTTCCGCAAGGATCACCGTACGGGAGCGTACTCCCTGATGGACGCTTCTAGAGTCGCTGGACAAGCAAGCCCTCAGAAATCCTTCTGCTCTGAGCAGATACACCGAGCAGCTGCCCGAGGATAACTTTTGGGAGGCTTCGGGAGGCTCGTGGCCTGTGGACCGTCATCAGCGGTTTTGAAGATCTCTTGGGCGTCTCGAGGGCCCCTCGAACTATCTCGGATGTGTTTGGGAGGTCCTTTGGTAACCCTGGGGCCAATGACATGGGGCAACTCAAATCATCCAAGGGCTGCCAAGGTCAGTCGAAGCCGTATCGGGCGCGGCCTTGGGGATCCCTTAGGCCGTATTGTGCCTTGCTGGGAAGCGTCAAGATGTTATACGACACAAGGTATGAGACAGATGACGCGGTTCACTCTTCTAATGGAGGCGACGTCCAGCACGACTTCGCGCGAATCCCCCAGCTGTTTTTTTTCGAAAGCGCCCAGGAAGGCTCCAGGAAGGCGCGCAAGGCAGCCACGAGGAGGACCCAGGGCAGCCTAAGGGAGGATGCTTTGGGGGGACGTTCTTGGAGTGCTCTTGGGGGTTTCTGATGGGTGAGGCCTCTTCGGTTTTTGTTGGGGGATTCCTGGTGACCTCTTGGGACTTCTTGGGGTCGCCTCGGGGCCTCCCTGGGGTTCCTGGCGTCTGGGCTCGAAATGTCGGACTAGGTCCTCGCTCTTGCCCCTGTCTAGGGACCGTATTGAGGCCTCGTGGGTCGTCTTGGCGCTCTCTTGGGTCGTATTTGTCTTGGTACTGTCATGGGGACCTCTCGGGCCGTCTTGGAGCGTTGGAATGCCGAAAAAGCGATAACGCTACAACCGCTCAAACGCCCAAGGACAATGCATGAGTTTGGCCTCCTCGGGACCTCTTGGGGGTCCTCTTGGTGCCCTGTGGAGCGTTCTGAGACTCTTTTCGGCATATTTGAAGCGTTCTTAGGCCGTCTCTGGGCCCTCTTGGCTCATCTTGGGGGGCCTCTTGGGCCTCTCGCGCCCATCTTGAAGCCCTCTCTGGACGCTCTCGGAGGCCCCCAAGGCGGGGAACTTGGAAACGTACAAGGGAGGCAGCTCGAAGGAGCCCTGGCTTCGGATCTCCACGTTCTAGCCAGGCTGGATGGGCCAACCTTAGGATACCCTCCATATGTGAATACTCCTTCCCGGGGGCCTCCAAGAGGTATGATGACAGCCCAAGGGGCCTCCAAAACAGCCTGAGATGCACCCAAGACGGTGTCAGAGAGGTTCACGAGGGCCCGAAGAAGATCCGCTGAAGATGGCCTTCGCAAAATCCAAGAGGCCTCCCAGACGCTTCAAGAAAGCCTCCGGCGCGTTCCCAAGAGGCTTTGAGGAGGCCAGCATCCTATGATGTGCTGTGAGCTTGCGAGGGAGAGATGGTTGTCGCCTTCGATATTCCCGACGGTGGCTCAAGACGGCCGCAGAAGACTCACCGACGCCTCAGGAGGGCCGCAAGACGGCCCAAAAAGTCCCGATGATGCCCAAAGAAGGCCCCAAGAGGGGCCTGATGCGGTAAGACGCGTTGGGCCGAACGTTGTCGGACGACTCCAGGGTACCCATGGAAACCTGGCGGGCTGTTTTGGGGGTGCGTTGAACTGTCTTCCAGACGTCTGAGGCATTGTTCGGGCATCATGGGGCGAGTTCTTGGGCATCTCCCAGGAAGGGTACAAGAGGGCCCACAGAGGCCCGCAAGAGGCCCAGAGGGTTCAAAACTGCTTCCAAGAAGCCTCCAAGAGGCATCTCAAAAGCGCAGTGGGGAAGAGGGAGAAGGAGAGGAAGGAGCAGGACGTGGAAAGAGGGACGGAGGACAACTAAGAGCAAGTGAGAGATCAGGGAGGACGGACAGCGAGGGATGGGGGAGACGGAAACGCATGAGGGAGGCGGAGGGGGAAGGCGTGAAGGAGAAACGAGGAGGAGGGAGGAAAGAATAGGGGAAAGGATGGAGAAGGATGTCGAGCGGAAGACGCAGGAGAACCAAGAGCACGAAAGAGATCTGGGAGAACGAACGGCGAGGGGTGGGGGAGACGGAACGCATGAGGGAGGCGAAAACAGGAAGGCGCGAAGGAGAGACGAGGAAGAGGGAGAAGGGAAAATGAGGCTGCGGGCTGCGGGAAGGAGGGATTCAGAAGGAAAGGAACGATGTGGAACGGGAGACGCAGGAGAACCAAGAGCAAGAGAGAGCGCAAGGAGAAGAGGCAACGAGGGATGGGGAAAACGGAAACGCACTCTGGGCACGCCAAAGCCTGGGACAGAAGGCAACGAAGGATGGGTCGACCTTGAACAAAAAAATGTAAGTGAACTTCCATTGTTTTTCAAACTGGGCCTCCTACCACTTAGTAGGGCAGGATGCTGGGTGAGGGAGGCGGAGTGGGGATGGACGCTGCGGGGAAGAGGGAGGAGGAGAGCGGAGTCAGGGAAAAGGGAGGGACGAGGAGAAAGGAGCCGCCTCCTCTGGGTTTGCCGCCATCTGGGATGTCTCGGCGCAGTCTCCCGGGGACGTCTTCGGGGTGCCTTGAAAGCCTTCCTGGATCATGTTGGAAGCGTCTCTTGGGGCCTCTTGGGGTCTCTTGGGGCTTCTTGGGAGCTCTTGAGGGCCTCTCGGGGCCCTCTTCGGCGCTGGGTACCTCTGGGGCAGCTCCTGGGGGCTCGTTGGGGCCTCTTCGGAGCGTCTTTGGGGCCTTGGTGGTGCATCTTCGGGCGTCATGGGCACCTCTTGTGGCCTCTTGGTCCCTTCGCGCCGCCTGGGACGCCTCTAAGGGACATCTTGGGGCTCCCTTAGGGCACACGCGCAAGCCTCGGGAGCGCATCGGAAGCGGAAATGCGAGAGCACAAACATTATAGATTTCTTATGGTTAGTCAATGATTTGGGCCTCTCGAAAGCTTCCCCTGAGCTCTTGGGGGGCTCTTGCTGGGCCCCTCTTGGGGCCATCTTGGGGCCCTCTTGGGGCCCTTTCGGGCCATGGTGGGCGCCTCTTGGGCCGTTTTGGGGCCCTCTTGGACTGTCTTGGGGCCCTCTTGGGGCCCTCTTGGGGGCCTCTTGGGCCGTCTTGGGGCGGTCTTGGGAGCCTTCAGGGCCATCTTGGAGCGTCGGAAGCTCACCATGCGAGAACGAGAAGCTCATACAAAAACACAAGGAAAGTAAATGATACGTGCCTCTTTGGGCCCTCTTGGGGGTCCCTTGGAGCGCTCTTGAGGCTTCTTTGGGCCTCTTGGGCCGTCTTGGGGCCATCGTGGGCGTCTTGGAGCGCTCTTGAGCTGTCTTGGAGGCCTCTTGGACCCTATTGGGCGCTTCTGGAGCTTTCTTGTTCCGTTTTGGGGCCCCCTTGGCCCCTCCAGGCCGCCTCCGGGAAGCGAACCGGGACGGTACCGAAAAGTGATCACGGATGGTTGCGAACTGGGCCACCCCAGGGGGATCTACTCGTTTATGTTACGCAGTTACATACATACATATCTGCATGTAGAAAGATGTGTTTTAAACATAACAGTTGGAGGTCCGCGCGGATTTCTTGGATCAGCGTTGGACCCCTGGGCGCCCCCCCTGTCACGCTCCGTGCGCCAGGGAGGAGGATCCAGCGCTGGTCCAAGAAGTTCGCGCCGACCTCCGAAAGTGCAGGCACGTTGTTCTTCTTGGAGTCCTCGATCTTCCTGATCTCCTCCCTGATGGAGATCATGGCGTCGCAGAAGCGATCCAACTCGGCCTTGTCCTCGGACTCGGTCGGCTCCACCATGAGGGAGTGCGGCACGGGCCACGACATCGTCGGAGCGTGGAAGCCGTAGTCCTGCAGCCTCTTCGCGATGTCCTCCTCCACAACCCCGCTCTTCCTCTAGCAGAAGACAAGCGGCATCAGCAGAAACGTTCGGAGGTCTGCACGGATTTCTTGGATCGGCGTTGGACCTTCCTCCCAGGCGCGCGGAGCGCGCAGTTGGCGGCGCCGGAAGCGACGCCTGAGGGGTCCAGACCCGGTCCAAGCAATCCGCGCGGACCTACGAAGGTGTATGTTTATGCAGATGTTTCATGTTCGATCCTCTTCAGGTTCGAGCAGTCAATGATGAACTCGTGCGAGCACTTGCTGAAGGAGTTGGTCGCCACGATGTTGAAGTGCGGCTCCAGCCTTGCCTTCATGTAGTTCGCGTTCAGGATGGCATACACCGCAGAGTCCGTGACACCCTTCGAGCCCAGCATGGTGTTGAACATCCAGGGGATGCAGGCGATGCCTGCCTGCGGCACCCTTCCCGCAGGGACCTCCCACGACGGCGAGGAGACCCAAGGGGCCCAGCCCGGACCTCCCCTTGCTTTCTAGCCAAGGGCGCGCTCAAGAAGGTGGGAGCATTACTAAGGAGGCTCCTCCTGGTCTCGTCGGATAAAGCCCACCAGTGGGAGAATGAGAGACACCATTATGAATTTCCTGCAGTCGCTGTCTGCCAATAGGAATGCAACTAGTCGAACAACTTACTCCAATCAGCCTATGCATGACGTGACCTGGCTACCCTGCACTCCACTCGAATATCCGCCACCGTGCCGTAGGAATCGGGTAGAGAGTCATCAGGTCCCTTCGAAGTCTCTGTACAGACGATGTGTGTTTCAACACTTTCGGTCCTGGAGGGAGGAACCTGGACTGGCCCCACGAGCCCTCGTGTGCCATGATAGCCCCCGAGACCGCCAGGAGGCCCTGCTCATGGCGCCCAAGAAGCCGCATGAGGCCTTCAAGAGGCCCCTGAGAGGCCCCCAAGAGGCCCCCAAGAGGCCCTCAAGAGGCCCTCAAGAGGATCCAAGAGGCTTCAAAATATGATTGGATAGGTGGGTGGGAATGTTCGCGCATCGAAGCTAGATACACTCCGCTCTACCCACCCTACTCCCACTTACACGCATACTACGCTCTCGTGCATTATCCGCCGCTGGGTCTTGCTCACACTGGGGCGTGATAAAATACTCTTCTGCTGTCGGGTAGCATTTCTTTAGTGTCCTCGCAGCACGCGCCCTCCATTGGCGAAGCCTTTTTCCCAGAGAGGCCCGCCTGGGGGGGTAAAAGCACACACACACACACGCAGCAACAACAACAACAACAACAACAACAACAACAACAACAACAACAACAACAACAAACACAACAACAACAACAACAACAACAACAACAATTACTAGCACGTGGGGACACTCCGTTCTCACCAGTGCCAGGGTTTTCATAGGAGGCGGGCAATGCCCCCACTTTGTGGGGGGGCCGGTTCAAGCTCTACCAAATTTCCAAACGACTCTTCGCCACCACCCACACCCAGCTTCCCGCCCTATGACGTTCGGACACTTCACTTCGTGGCATGCGGACGACCGTGGCTACTATTCAGGGCCCCGCGGCCGACGACGACGGCGTGCGCGCGCGAAGAAAAAACGAATGTGTCCCGCATGGTATTATTTGACAGGGATGATGGCCCTGGCAGGTGCGCAACCGTTGTCGCAGAAGTTCGAAAAAGTTGCTCGCAAAAGCCCGTTTGACAGAAATGTTTAAAAAGTGTTGGGTTTCCTACGAATCCGCAAGAGCGCGCGGGATGAGATTTTGACATTTTTTTGTTGAAAAACCATTGGTTTTTTGATGTTTTTATGTTAAAATCGCTCCGAACACTAAGCTTTTGGAAGGATTTCGTCTTGCGCGCGCGAATGTCCACTTTACCTTATTTTTTGCAAGGGATTCTTGAAATTTGATTATATTAGAACAAGAAATGTCATTTTATAGTGTTTTTTGCAAGGGAAAGCGGGGGGGAACAAAACAACCGGATCTTGATCACATCGAATTACCTGAGGCTTCCTCACGAAAATGATGAAAATGTAGCTGCGGCCTAGGCGGCGCAGGGGGGCCGTGCACCAGGGGTCCCAACAATAATTATTCTTTAGAATTAATAATGTTCAATAATAATAATAATAACAACACCAACACCAACACCAACACCAACACCAACACCAACACCAACAACAACAACAACAACAACAACTACAACAACAACAACAACAACAACAACAACAACAGCAGCAGCAGCAGCAACAGCAGCAACAATCATGTCGAGACTGTTCGCTCATATCTGCTCACGTGCCAATCAATACGTATATCCCAAACCCTCGGTACCCGCACTCGTCGTCCTCGATCGTACCCGCTTGGGGGTATATCTTCCTTACCTGTCACGCGTATCCAGTGCAGCCTCTAAAACAAGAGAAGAGAGGACGGATGGAAGGGGGAGGGAGAAGAATGGAGCACGAGAGAAATTAGGAGGGGGGCAAGGAGCAGATAACAAGTGGTAGAACCAGACGGGCAGATCGGGTGGGCAGACCCATAGCTGGCAGGTCGGGAAGGCGGGCCCATGCGGCGACGAGGTCGAGCAGGCGGGTTGCTGAAGCGTGGGTCCTGTATGAATCGCGAGGAAGTCTCGAGCGATAGCACGATTCCCAAGTAAATCGTGAGAAAAGCCAGCGTGGGCCACGAAGGGCATAAAATCCACGGCCACAGAGGGCAGCACCGGGGCCACGAAGGGCAGCGAGGGGGCCACAAAGGGCGACAGCGGGGCCACGAAGGGCATGCATATGGGGCCCTGACGGGCGCGAGCGAGCGGGGGCCACGAAGGGCAGTCGTACAGGAGGCCACAAATGGCGACAGCGGGGCCACTGAGGGCAGCAAAGGGGCCACGAAGGGCAGCGAGGGGGCCACGAAGGGTGACAGCGGGGCTACGAAGGGCACGCGTATGGGGCCAAGACGGGCGCGTGCGAGCGGGGGCCACGAAGGGCAAATCATGCTGGGCCACAAATGGCAGCGACGGGGCCACTAAGGGCAGCAACGGGGCCACGAAGGGCAGCGAGCGAAGGCGAACGCGGAACCAGTACGGGCAGCGAGGGGCATCGAAGGCGGGCGAAGGGCAGCGAGCGGCGACTGCAGTCATTAACGGGGTGGTCGGGCGGGCAGGCCCCGACAGGCGGATCGAGCGGGCGGGTCGTTGAAGCGTGAGTCCTGCTTGAACCGCCAGGAAATATGCAGCGAGAGCGCGATTCCTGAGTGCCAAGGACCGGGATCTGAATAAATTGTGAGGAACTGTCAAGCGAAGCGGTTCGGTGGTAAGTTGCGAAGAAGTCCCAAGCGAGAACGCGATTCTGCAATAAATTGTGAGGAAATATAAAGCGGGAGCCGCGACTCGGTGGTAAAATGCCAGGAAGTCCTAAGCGAGAGCGCGATTCTTCAATAAAGTGTGAGGAAATGTCACGCGGGAGCCGTTGTTGTTGTAAACCGGGACGCTCCCTGGTAAAAAACAGATTACGAACCCAGGGAGGGGCACTTCAATCGAAAAAATACAATGTGCCAGGGGGATCAACAAGAACTATTCTTCAGGAATGAAATTTCAACAACCACAACAACCACAACAACCACAACAACCACAACAACAACAACAACCACAACAACAACAACAACAAAAACAACAACAACAATAGGTTGAAGACTGTTCGCCCTTATATGCTCGAGTGTCCAATAACGCGTATTTCCCAAACCCTCGATACCCACCCTCTTCGTCTTCGATCGAACCCCTTTTTGGGGGGTGTACCTTTCTTCCCTCCAGGCCGGGCCCCAGCAAGCGGCGGGGCGGCCGCGGACCGTCGGCCTGGCCAGCGGCAGCGCTGATCGGCGGGGCGGCCGCGGACGTCGACCCGACCCCAAGAGGGACGGACAGGGGACCGACCACGACGACGACGACGACGACGTCGAAGACAACGGCGACGACGACGACGACGACGACGACGAGCGAAAGCGAGAGCGAGAGAGAACGACAGCAGGGCCACGAAGGGCACGAAGTAGGCCACGAAGGGCGACAGCGGGGACACGAAGGGAATGCGTATGGGGCCACGAAGAGCGCGAACGAGCGGGGGCCACGAAGTGCAGATAATGCGGGGCCACAGAAGGCAACTATGGGGCCACTGAGGGTAGCAACTGGGCCACGTAGGACAGTGAGGGGGACACAAATGGCGACAGCGGGGCCACAAAGGGCATGCACGTGGGGCCACAACGGGCGCGACTCCTGGGTGCCTGAGTGTCGGGAGCGCGGCGCTTGGGCAAATTGCAGGAAATTGCAACGCAAGGCCATTCTTCAGTAAGTTGCAAGCAAGTCTCCAGCGAGAGCGCGACTCCAGAGCGCCGGGAGAGCGGTTCCTGAATAAATTGTAAGGAAGTCCCAAGCGAGAGCGCGATTCCTGAATTTTACCCCAGTGCGACCCTACCTAGATGTTGGAGCCCCTAGGAAAGCAGCATTAGTTGCTATGCTATGTAATGCTATGCCATGCTATGCTGCGCTATGCTATGCTATGCTATGTTATGCTATGCTGCGCTATGCTATGCTATGCTATACTAAGATATGCTCTGTCATGCTGCGCTGTGCTATGCTAAGCTATGCTATGCTATGCTAAGCTGTGTTATGCTATGCTACGCTATGGTATACTACGCTATGGTATGCTGCGCTATGATGTGCTGCGCTATGCTACGCTATGCTATGCTGCACTGTGCCATGCTGTGCTGTGCTGTGCTGCGCTATGCTATGCTATGCTATGCTATACTATGCTGCGCTATGCTATGCTGTGCTGGGCTATGCTATGATATGCTGCGCTGCGCTATGCTACGCTATGCTATGCTGTGCTCTGCTATGCTAAAGCTCAGCGAAGCTAAGATGAAGGTAAGCTAAGATAAACCTGAGCTAAGATGAAGCTAAGCTAAGGTAAGATGAAATAAGCTAGGCTAAGATGAGATAAGCAACGCGAAGCTAAGGGAACGTCACTGGGGGAACCGCGGGGCGGATGCCGGGGGAACCGCCCGGGGCGGGCCCCACTGCCTGGCCCTTTAAGCCTCCGAGTAAGAACCCTTCTAGGCAGAGCCTAGGTAGGGAAAAATGCGAGGACGTCTCGGGCGGGAGCGGGGGTCCTGGCTAAATTGTAAGGAAGTCTCAGGCGGGAGCCGTTGTTGTTGTAACCCGGGGGCCAGGGGCCCAGTTTGAGCAGGAAGACTTTCGCTGTCAAAAAACAGGGTGCGAGCGTCGAGGGGCACACTTTGATTGAGAAAAAACAGCATGCACCGGTGGGGGGGGGTCAACAATAATTATTATTCAGAAATGAGAATTCAACAACAACAACAACAACAACAATCATTTTACCCGAACGCTCAGTGTTCTCACCAGTGCCAGGGTTTTCATGCGACGCGAGACAAT